GGATGCAGGGAAAGGGAGAGATTAAGAGGAAAAGGAGTTTTCTCCTTAACACTTCAAAGAGAAAACTTAGAGCAGGACTAGTATATTAATGAGAACAGCACCTCAGCTATGAAACAGCCATTTCATAGCGGCGAATATGGTGGCATCCTTCGTTGTACATAATGCTTTAAGGGCAGGCCAGAGGACCTTTTGCACCTCTTACACAGCCATGTCTCCATTTTGTTTCACAGAAGCAAGCTGTGAAGTTGAGCAGGTCACACGTGTGTTGGCAGGAGCCTTGCCAAGGCCAGCACCCGCAGAAGATACACTCACTTAGCCCCAGGGAGAGCATCCCTGCAGCAGGCAGGTGAACCCTCTTGGTAAAGAAAAGGCAAAGGGCTCTGACACCTCGGTGGCCAGGTAACACAGTGACAGTGCTTTGATTCAGCCATTGGGCTTCAGCACATGATGAACAGGAGATTTATATGAGGGTGGTGAGACACTGGCACAGTCTGCCCAAGGAAGCTGTGGCTGCCCCATCCCTGGCCGTGCTCCAGGCCAGGGTGGACACAGGGGCTTGGAGCAGCCTGGTCTGGTGGAAGGTGTCCCTGCCTGTGGCAGGGGTTGGAAGTAGATGACCTTAGGGTCCCTTCCAACCCAAACCATTCTATGATAACTAGACCAATGTTTAACATATGCTATGAAAAATGACAGCTTTTAATTACAGTATTTATGTTTTGTGAGGACAGCTGTTTCTTTCACACTATGACTTTTCAAACTATTCTGAGGAGATTGATACCATATATGCAAATCTAAACTGATTGTGGAGATAGATTAGCTTGAGGTTTTATTTTTTTCTGCATATTTCCAGTTTTCAGCTTCATACATTTCTTTCTTCTGGTGTGCTGAGATTGAAAAAGCAATCTTGTGCTCTTCGGGATCTGGTTAGGGGCTCAGATGGTGCACCCAGTGCCACCAGCACAACGCTGCTGGACTGAGGACAAGTTTATTTTCGTATCATCGCGCAGATGTTAGTTGTGCATTCACGATTACATCGAAGGAACACAGTTCTTGAACCCCATTAGCACTCGGATGTTTGTGTCAACTGAACCTGAAGAGAAGCACATCAGCTGACACAGAGAAGCTGCTATGGAAAAGTCCAGAGAAAGGTGGGCACTGCTGTTTTGTAATGTCACTTGAACTCCACCTCTTTACAGAGCAACTTACCCTTACGAAACATAACCAGGCCTTCATCTGCATTGTGTGGACAAAGAAGAAAAAGAGAAAAGAACCCAAACCCAAACTCCTGGCAGCCTGTCTGTCGCCCAGGTTTCTGGCCTGGATTCCTGCAGATTTTCTAAGTGACTGTTTCTTTGCCATCTTGCTTGTCCATCACACCTGCTTTGTCTGGTTGCCACCAGTGTTTCGTATTTACTTATTCCCACACTAAGGAGCCGCTCTCCCCTTCTGTAGCCAATTACATTTCAGTGCAATAAGCTGCAAGATGAGCTTCTATGAGAAATAAACCTGATGATCTCCCTGCATGTTCCAATTTTCAGTTCTGAGGTTGCTGAATGCAATGCAAGATTTCTTCTTTTGAAAGACAGTAGCTAGATTCCTTAACAAACTCAAATCCAGTTGTAGGAAATTCTAATATTAGAGCTGCTATTTAATTCTCAAGGCAGTAAAAAGGACCAAGAGGCCAACTGGCCTCTGAATGTCTTTCATGTTGGTTTGTTACACAGTGTGATCTTGTTTTACAAGTGCTCTGTTTACAAGAATGCTGGGGGGGAGATGTTCATTTAAGTCCCACAATCACATAGGGCTACTTTTGTAAAGGTCTGATCCAGTCCTACCAGCTGCTTGCCCACAAAACTCCACAATTGTGGAGGCTAATTAAGATTCTTCGGAGAAGCTCTCCTCTCCCCGGCGGCTGCAGAAGGCCTCATTAGAAATGCTGTACCTCCCCCTTCGCCCAGCAGAATGCCCCACTGTGCTCAGTTTATGTGATGCCTTATGAATTAACCAATTGATTCAGAAAATATCATTACTTTGGGGCTAAAAAAAGCTGTTCTCGCTAAGGGGAAAAAGTCAGGGCTCCACATCGGAATAAACTGATGCTGGTTTACCTACAAACTCCCTTCTCTCTCACTCTGCTAGCTGAGGATTCACTTGCCAGGATACAACGGGTTCAGTACAAAGGGAATTTATCATGCCTTTCTGTGAAGATGGGAAGTCTGGGCCTAGGTGGTCAGGGTGACTGATCCACTTGCACACAGGAAGCTTCACTTAGATGCAACACTGATAGAAAACAATTAGTTTACACAAAATGACTCTTTTGCCTTGTCTTTTTTGTGCTCATTCTCTCTCAAGCTTTACAGTGAAGAAACCCGTAACTGGTACAGATCAAGTACACATCTGAGAATTGCTTGGTGCTAATGTTGTGCTGCTTGTCTGTAAGAGCTGAACACAGCTCTACTGCTGGAACAAAACTTCAGCTGGCACCGACACCTTACATTTGACCTCCAGTATCTTTGAGTGGTTATGACTGCGAAAGTTTATATTCAGTTTTCAAACTGGTTTTAAAGTAGAAAAATGGTTTTAAAACCAAGTCTGATTTAAAGCTGAAACTGAGGAACGTGTAATTATGTTTCATCTAATACAAAGAGTTTTCCCCTGTTACCTTTATACAAAAATCTGGGTTTGAATTTTTAAAAAGAAGCTAACTGCTGGAACAAGACAAAGCATTTCAAGCAGTGAAGAAACCCAATCTGCTGACACACAGTTTCAAGTTGGTCACGACAAGCATACCATGAGCTTGGACAGCCTCCTCTTCCCGACTGCTTCAAGTGTTTAGCTACACCAATTAAAGATAGGCTCCCCTCCCCAAACTAAAAATGAGAACATTAAACCATGACAACTTCACTGCACAAAACCATACCATAAATTGTAGTAACAGAATGCTTTATTTGGGGGGAATACAAGGAAAAGTGTGACATCCTCATTATCAAATTCTTCTAAAAAGGCATTCTTTCTTTGAAAAACATAGCACTCATACAGAAAAGGTGACCTGTGGATAAGCCCTCTCATTTAGCAGTGGGAATTCTTTTTCATTTCACAGCTGAAGTTGGGATTTGAATAATCCACCGCAACAGATTTCAGCTTTGCTGATACTTTCTGGTAGCCCGAGGCACACCTGCCACTCAGCACTGCTCCTGTTTGACAGCCTACCAGGAGCTGACAACGCAACGGGAGACGGGGCTTTCACAATGCTCACCCAGGTCGCTTTGCAACAAACCACAAGACTTCACCATTACCACAAGAAGACAGCGAGAAAGCCACAAGGTAACTCGTCTTCTCTTTAATCTCCGAAGACTTCTCATGCAAGCCCTACGCTCATGAAATTCTCATACCATTCATCTGGTTACACCTCAGTACTTCACTGCGCATCCCCTCTGCCGTAAGCCAGAACTGTGTTGTGAAAGGAATACAACAAATCAAAGGCAAAATACAATTATTCCCCCAATGTACCTGCTTTCTGTACGTGGAACCTACTGTAAGCTGGGATATGTTTTAAAGAATTTATATCAATAAATTACTTTTGCCCCCTTTGAACCTTATATTAGAATTTAAGTTGTTAAAGAAAGGGGCTGCGAAGTTCCTAAAACTGTCAGGTTACAAAGCAAGCATTCGTCTTTTAACCCAGCGTGACAACCCTCTGTCACAAGTAGTGTCCATGCTAAGCAGTAAGATATGTTGGTCTTACTGTTTAAAGGGGGTTCATGTTGTCTGAAGCGGGAATGGCAAACTCTAAAAGAACCAATGGTTTTCTTTATTCAGGTTAGACATAACAAATATGTCAGATACAGCAGTTAGTCTAGAAAAATACATTTAAAAAAATCTTCAGCAGACCATGCGCCCTGTAACAAAATCTTTCAAAATCAATTTTACAAATTATTCTACATTAATGTAAAAAGAAAATCTTAAATTTAGCATCATGGATTCCATCAAACATCTATCTATCAAAACATGAGTTTCACTATTTTTAGATGTTAGAATTCATAATACATTTTTCTAACATATCCTGTACATATTAAATAACCTAAAAGGCTCCTTTTGTAGTGCATTAACAATGTAGCAAGCACACTCAGTATTTCTCCAGTACCATTTGCATTACAGTTATTTGCCCGCAAATGTAATTAATGTCTAAAAGTGCACACAGTTAGGCCCCTCTCCCTCCCCAAAACCTGTTTCCCTGCTGAAACCCAGACATCCACTGGTAACGTTATGCTACTGTAGCTAATCTATCCATGATTAGAAATGTGTGACTGAAGTGTTCTTAAACTATACAGGACCTGAACTATATACAAGAATCAAAAGGACAGCCTGTATTTACATCAAGAAACTTCCACTACCACGGCATTATACCAAGAACTCAACACAGTGTTACAGCTGGTATTTACTTAGGATTTTAGCTTTAAATCAGTATAACACAAAACTAAGCTCAGGAAACACCCTGAAAAAAAGAACATGTTTATTAAATATGACTTCTATTATGCCACAAAACAAATATCCATTGCCGGATATTCTTACAAGTTCAGTGTTTGAAATAGTGTGCTGTTTTATAAAGAAACTAAAGTTTCAGAAAGATTGCTGGGGAATAAAAAGAAAGGAAGAAAAGAAAAACTGGGGGAAGGACAGCAGATACCAAGTGAAGAATTAGATTTGAATAACTAAACCAAGCTGTTAGCACAAGTTTAAGACAGTCACTGCATGCAGAAACCCCTTGGAAAAGTGTCATACAGATCTGAGTAGGTTGTAATACACAAGCTTAAGATGTAACTTCACCAAATTCTTCCACACCAGTTGCTAGGACTTTTCCCTATAAAGTGGAAGAATTTTAAGATTAAATTCCAGATTATCCAGTTTGAGATTAATAGCTTTACTCTCCAAGAAATCCAGTGTATGAACCTATATTACATTTTTCCAATGCTACTTTAAAAAAGGCAAACTATAAACTTTTCAATTCACTTTTTACATTGAACTTTTCAAAGAAAACCAAAGTGATGTCTTTAATTCGCATTAAAGTGGTCAAACATTTCTCCTGTTTCTCCCCTCCCAAAAGTGCAAAAAACAAGTTGCTGCTTGGTCCACAAACATAATACATCATGTACAGCGAGAGATTTTCCTTCTGATGGAGTACTGCTGCCAACCCATCACTTCCAGTTTCTACTCCAAGAAAAGTGTCAGCGTCCAAAGACGGAATTCAATTCCAGTAAAATTAATTCTACAATCTGATTCTGGTATACTGTGTGGACTGCTATGTTACCAGTCTCTTTCTCTGGTTTTAATAAGGTTGGACCAAAAACTATTGCTACACTTTGATAGGTCATTCGGTTCTTCTCTCCATTTTCTACAACTCTGAAAGAGAAACAAAAGATACATAAAAAGGGGATTTATCAGTGCTAGAGTAGAAGGGTAACAGGAAAAAGACACAGTCCTAAGCAAATGAATATTCACAGTATTTATTTAATGAGTAGTCTTGTTATCAGGACCTACAGCTGCTGTGATTTCCTCTATGGAAAAGTTTTATTTTGAAGTGCTATTCCTGATCCTCTCTCAATCCCTCAAACACAAGGGCTTGGCAGAGAACCCCGCAACTCTGACATTTTCTCTGAAGTCTGTTTGGTGCTCTGCAAGCTTGTATAAATACAGACTGACAGATTGGTTTCATCAAATCAAACACAGGCAAGAAATATGCAGTAGGAACAGTCAGCTAGTACTTTTAACTGGACTAGTTAGCTTTAAGAGAGGCTCCGCAATACAAAGCCTTTCCTTCTATCTGCTACTTACCTCTTCAGATGTCTAAAGAGTACCTGCATAGTGTCCTGATTTGGTTTTGGCAACTGTTTGATTAAATCTTTAACAGCATGGACACGCTGCCTTGGTTCTTGTTCTACAAAAGGATGAGGTGGAGAAACAAAAATTCGGTATTTTTGTTTAAAACTTCATCATAAAATTTAACACACAGGGAATAAAAGCAAACGTTTTGCAGTGCTAATGAGAGATAAAATAGTGACACCTCCTGGCAGGACCGTGCATTACTGACAGGCAACGTCAAGGAAACCTTACATAGGTTCTAACAAAAACATTCTTTTTGCTGTTGAAAATAATTAATTATAAGTTTTGAGCAGAACTTATACAAAAATCAAGCACACATAGGTTTTCCAGACTTACTAATTGCATTGACAAAGTCATTGAAGTGATTGTAAGTGAACAGTGGCTCTGGCAATTCTCTGAAAAACATCTTTAGAGCTCCTGTGATGACATGTATGTCTTCCCATTTACTGTCGTTCAAGTCTAGTTTCTCATCTGAAAGAGAAAAATGACTAGTGTTAACGTTAATAATTTAACTATAAAAGCTTTTTACAAATAAACTGAACTACTCTTCTGTTCTTACTGCTTTTACAGCAGTGAAGACTCCAGCCCTGCTGCAGTGTAAAAGGGGATACAAAAGCTCAACCGCTACAGAGATGGCCAAACTCTGCCTACTGCACTACATGCAGCTCCACTACACGAAGGGCATTTTCAAGAGGGGAACAGGAGCTGCTGATGCAACACAAAATTTACTGTTAGATCCTGTCAATCAGGAAATGAGGTGTCAGATTGTAGACAGGCTACTGTCCTCTTCCTAATTGCAAGCTGCCTATTGATTCTGATTGAAAAAATACTGAAATACAACCATATGAAAGGGTTTTATACACAGAGCATGGTAAAGAGAAGCTAAACACCCACATACTAAAAAGGAGTAGCAAATCTTGCTAAAAATTATTAATTTAGAATTTTAATGCTAGTGGATGTTTAATATGCTTACTGGTTTTCCAGTTACTTTGTTAGAAATAATCCCTTCCCTTCAAATTCAAATATTAGAAAGAAATTCTTTACTGTGAGGGTGGTGAGGCCCTGGCACAGGCTACCCAGAGAAGCTGTGGCTGCCTCATCTCTGGCAGTGTTCAAGGTCATGCTGGACAGGGATTTGAGCAACATGCTCTAGTGGAAGGTGTTCCTGCACATGGAAGGGGGTTGGAAGTAGGTGGTCTTCAACATCCCTTCCAACTCAAACCATTCTGATTTGAGTTCTATTACCATGTTTCTTTAGAACTGTGTTCTAGCAATGCCCCCATGCTCCACAGAACACTAAACCTCCAGGATGCCAGGTTTTTCAAATTACGTGTATTACACAGTAAATTCTGTAATTCTAAAGTAATTTTACTTTAAAAATGACAATCATTTCCCATGAAAGACTGCAGTTATACATTAAGAAACCTTTTTTCTGAACTTCCTATGAACTTCAATACGCAATTGTAACATAGTTGAAGGAAGCTTACCATGATTGACTGCAAATCTTAGCTTCTGTATCACTGCAAGATTGCCACTAACTCGGTATAAGCCATCAACATCTAATCCTAAAACAAAGGGATTAAATCTGTTTTAATACATTACACATGCATGAATTCTGGAATCATTATGTTGCTGCTTTATAGGTCTACCCAGCAAAATTAAAAGAAACCCATCTTGTAACAAAGAACGCTCACTTGAACAACGAAACAAAAAAGTTAAACTAGCTTTCTTGATGGGGAGGGCATATCAGAGGAGGTTTAGTTTGCCTGCACAGGTTTGACAGCATCAAGCTGAAAGTAATCTCTAAAACTTCCTACACAGTAGAACAGTAGTAATGAGGCAACAGCTCCAAGTTTCCCAATGATCCTAGGTGTCTCTAAGATGCTCTTGGTGGGTAGACAGGGTGTATATGGGGGTCCAGCATGCAAGAACCAAGTATTTTGTGGATGTTCAGCTTTTTAATGTATGGTTAAGAAAAATCAAGTCATGCATAAAGAGCATCTCAAAGTTGTCAAGTGATCAGGTTTGCATGGAGAAGTAATGATGTGCATGCACACTCATCAATACCCAACAGCCTACAAAACAGAATGGGTAGTCTTTTGCCTTTACAGTATTGCACACTCAACCAGAAAACAAAACCGTGTCTCTGTGGTTGCTACTGTAGTTACTCAAAAGTGATTAGGAGGTAAAGAATTTAATTGAAATTCCACTTGAATGCAGCATGTGAGTCAGTGCCACTAAGAGGATGAGTGTTGCCAGAATACCTGCAAGTCCCTGTAGCTCCTCAAGGAGTTGTCTGATGCAACACAGCACTGTAAACAGCACCATCTGACATATCCCTTTTCCCCATAATCCACTAGTCATTCCTTTACAGAAAGAACTGATTTGAAGTGTATTGGCAGTAGGAAGAAGAGTTGGAGAAGCAGGGGGGAAAAGCTGTTCATTTCTGTCAGCTTCCCCTCACGTATTTAAAAAAGGAAAACTTCACCACTATCTTCACTGCAGTCCTGCCTTTAAAATAAAAAAGAAATAAAAAAAGAACAAAGCAAAATAACCCCTTTCTCACAAACTGCAGACCACAAATGGAATAAATCCTGCTGTTACAAACAAGGGCACGGTTTGTTGAACTGGGGTACAGCAATAGAAGCAATTATTTTTCCCTCCCAGGCCATAAAACAGCAGCATTCAGAAAGAGGACTATGGGCTGCAACAAAATCCTAAATGAAGTTCCCATGGAAGATGCCTTAAAATTCTCATGTAGTATTCCCCTGTAACACTTACCCTAATTCTCAAGACAATGTTTTCAGATTAACAGACTGGTATATATCTGAATGATGATTATGGAGACTCCATAATCGCCTCTCAGTCATCTTTTCCAAGAGATAGGGCAATGACAACAGCAAGAAACAAGCATGAAAACCAGCAGAGACTACAGCCATGCCAGGAGCCATAACCAACATATTTTCAACAAAAATGTGGAGGTGACCCTTGTATCAAGACAACCCAGAAGATCACAATTTAAAACAATTTTCTCAGTTATTAAATAGGAGAGACTTATTTTCAATGAAAGCAAACAAAAATTGAGTCAATATGTGGATACTGATAATGTCCAGAATTGCATAAAACTTCACATAGCAATCGGTGTAACTGGCTGAAGGGCATCGAACCGATAGATTTGTCTTCTTCAGGGCATATACAGAGCAGGAACACAACTTTTTCCTAGAAGTTTGTTTCAAGGAAGTTTTCATATAAATGATTGTTAGTATGCTTAAATCTTCCAAAAATGAATGGTTGCGTTCTGACAGTCTCTCTCTTTTCATCTGGAAAAACACCTTGATGGGCTGAGCTCTTCTATTACTTCTTGTAATCCCTCTTTCCTTAGAGCCTTGCTGCCAGGAGGCTGTCCTGCCTTGTCCTGAGCTTGAAATATACTGAAGAGGATCAATTTCTCCAAAATAAGATTTCCTTCCCTCTCTCCATTTCGGACCCCACCGACCCCCCCCCCCCCCCCCCATTCAAACATCATTCACA